ATACACGGTATGTCTGTGATCATACATGCAACGAAGTAAATAAAAAACACGGCGGACAGTAGACTTGGAACGTAGAATCTTGGGACTCTCATTTTCAAAACAGAGAGTCCAGGTTGAAACCAAGAGTCCCACTCATTAATGTATGAATATAGGTGGTTGTGAACCCTAGTAGCATATTACATAAAAAGACAAAGATGTCAAACCGCCAGGCATTTACTAACAATGAATATCAATTTCATTCGTTTATTTAGCATTGGTATTGTATAATTTCGAATTCATATAATTGACAGGGACTTCTAACATCTGTCTTTTTCCATCTGTTAATTTATAATCAATATTAAATTTTGTCCAAAATAAAATATCAACTTCTAAAAAAGGATATTTAAAGATATATTGCCTAGTAATGCTTTTCAACTTATTAAGCATTTCATTATAAAGCAGCATTTTATCAATATAAATTAAATGTGGTTTTTTGCATTAAAGGGAAGTAAAAAATAAAAATAATTCCTCATTTGAACGAAATTTGTCATAATTCGTTTTCCGTGTGGTTTGGAAAGCCGAAATGCTACCAATGAGCTCTAGCTCTTTTAACGCTTAGAGTGATGAGTGTCGCTTCATTCATTCATTCATTCATTCAAAAAAAAAAAAAAAAAACATTTACACATGTACATGTAAACATACGAGAGAGAGAGAGAGAGAGAGAGAGAGAGAGTATAACCAGTATACGTGTTGTTTCTATAAAACGGTGTCTGCTTACTCGTTTACTTACATGCAAAAAAAAAAAAAAAAAAAAAATAGTGTGAGGTGATTTCTTGCTGGGAAGTGTAGTAAAAAAATATTCATCTTGCTACATGAAGGACCTGGGTCCACTCTTGTGGGTCCGAACTAGATTTAGCAATCATATACTGGATAGTTTGGTTAAACATTTCTGTTATATTAAATTGAACTGTCCATTCAGTGTACCAATTTATGTGGCGGTATTTCGGCTAATATGGTAATCAGATGGTTACAGTAAAAGAACAATTCATATTTCAGTGCACAGAAATTTTGCTATCAATCATTCATACCACCCTGTCTAATTGTCAGTGATATCCGAAAGCAGCATCAAGTTAAAGCCAAGTTGTGAATCAGGAGAGGTGTACAAATTACAATGGTTACCTAGTTTTGCATATTGGCCAGAAGCAATATGAACTGTTTTCTGAAAGTTTACGCACCAGTTTGTCTATTAGACCGTGGGTGATAAGGCCTTGTCGCTCTCCTCTCACTCTTGGTTTTACTGCTGATTTCTTCCATGTAACCTATTGTAGAATTCTCTGCCTTGATCAGATATTATTACAGATGGAAATCTAGTACCAAAATACACGATATCACATTCATTAAAGCACGTATCTTTATGCGTGACTTTTATAAGTCAAGTGTAATGCAATAAATGTCTCCATTTCCCTGTGGTACAACGGTTTCAGCTGTTTCCTTCAGTCAGGTGGACCACCCGTTCCCATGAGTCGGTTTTGGATAACTATGTCCTACTTCAAATTTCACTGGTTCACGTGGCCTCCGCCTAACTTTTCAACAGTGTGAGAGATGCGTTTAAATGCAACAACGTGGTCTCTCGACAATAATGTCATTTATTATGTATCACACCGCAAAATATTTTGTTTATATTGTCTGAAACATCGTTATTACGTTATTTCCACGGCATACAAGTAGCTAGAGATAACATTCCATTACCTTCACAGCTGGTTAAGTGTTGCCATTACGTTTGCCAAGAACGAAAAATGCCAGAGGAGTTTGATTTTATCAAGCCTCCATTCCCTTAGCAACTTTTTTTTGTAAAAAGTCTTCGTTCAGTCACAGAAATAAGCCATAGACAATTTATGTTTTCCTTCTTTCTTTCCGTTTGAAAATATCCTTCAAAATTATGTATATTTGGTATCTATTTTGAAGTCAAAATACGTTTCTTTAACGTTTGTTATCGATAGTATTGCAGTTACATGTAGTAATTTCCGTACATTTGTGCACGTTGTGAATAAAAAAAAATGTAAAGTATCTTTGAAAGTATTCCGTAACATTTCGAAAACAACACCCTCAGTTTTTAAAAGTTTATTTAGGCGAAGAAGAGATATTGGGTTTTTTCGCTGTCTAAATAAGTTTCATTCTGTAATACCAATGAAATAATTGTCCTTCGTAGATCGCCCCAACACCATAGGGACTCTCGCTGAATGCAATTAAACACCGTAGCTCATTCAATATCTATCGGTATCTTTATAAATGATCATTTCGTCAGTTAGGGGATCTCTGCTTCGAGATTAAAAACAGCTTGGTTTCAGGTTCTACATATAGTATTTGTGAAAATTCACATCATATATAAAGCTCACCAGCGGTTAGAATTGAAGTCAGGGGAGTACGCGAAGATGCTGATTTACGAAAGAAAATCTGCACTTTATATTAAATTGCCCCTTTTTATCTCACAAAGTGCTCCCTTCAGCATATTTGTTTGTCTTCTGCCTCTCACTTGTCCTCTCACTGTTTATTCATAATCTCATACTTTGAGAAAATTATAATATAAAACAACGTGCCTTCTATAAAAGAAACTCCAGGTACTACTACTACTACTACTACTACTACTATTACTACTAAAGGTGTCGTTTAAACAACATGGCTGCTTATATATAATGACTATTTATATGATAAAAGCTACTGTGCTACCAAACAGAAACTGATCCCTGGTTAAATGAGTTCCCAGTAACATTAATGAACCTTGGCCATTTAAGTGGTACCGACGTACGTAACCCCGTGACACAGAGACGAATTAAAGTCCTGTGAAACAACCGCGAATATAAAAGATATAAAAGATATACACGTTGGAATATCATGACTTTTTTAAAAAAAAAATTCCATTTTTTTATTGTTGGTAAGATACAACACAACTTGGCACATTTCGGGTGGACAAATAAAACTTTGTGACCATGCGGCCTTTGGCAACTCCTAGAGAAAGATACTTTTTGTGTATTTTGCCTATAGTGTTTGGATTTAATAAATATGTATCCATAATCAATTTTCGTCGTCAGTACCTTAACTCTTCGTACCGGTGTGAAAGGAATGGTAGTCCTAGGAATGGAAATCCAGGGTCCCCTATGATTAGTACATGTTAGGTTAGCTGAAGTATAGGGGTAAGTGTGTGGGCAGAATTTCACATTATAAAGTAATGGGGAACGGACTACGGTTCCTAGCTAACTACCAATTCTGTCACACCGGTATGTAATTGTCTTGAACCAGTGACATAGCGTCGTTTACATGCACCTTTCACCTATCAGGCTTAAGATATGAAAACTTTGGTAATCATATACTATCGAACTTCTAAAATGAATAAAATGTCAGCCTAAGGCAACATCCCTTCCAATTTCCTTTTGATTCTTTCGATTTCACCTTTTTCATACGCCACTTGTTTGAAGTATGCCACATAGAGGGCGATGTTTCCCACCAAAACAGTTCCTATGACAACTCCAAGTATGATTTCATAGACCATAGCGTCCTTCAACTTTTGCAGGTCGGATTCTTTTTCAGCGTTGTCAAGACTTGGGGTCCAATACGGGTTGTCGCCTTAAATTGAACAATAAAAGTGCTTTAACGGTTATTCTACAATGCATTCGAATGGCATACAAGAGCATAGGAAGATTTTTTAGCTTATTTGCTTTACTATCAAGTATCTAAACCAAACCATGGTTCTCACATGGATGAGCTAAAATGATCATAAGGGTGAAGGGTTTCTTGATTTCAAGGGGCGACAAGGTCTTTAAGCATAAATGATTTTATCTGTTTGGACGAAATATTTATCTTTATCTGAGAAAAAAATTCTAAGGGAAATGAAAACAAGAACTGAAGCTGAGCACATTGGAAGATGCACTTACCTTTTAGGAACATGAAGGAACCAGCTGTCATAAATGGATTGAATGTTGTAAAGCGAGTAGTAAAACTCCTGAGGTGTGGAGAAGTTGAAGGCAATGGGCTCCTAAAAAATCTGGTAGTTGGAAAAAACTTTCTTGTGAACACTCCTGTAGTTTGAGCTGAAGTTGAAGGTAATGGGCTCCTGAAAAGTCTGGTAGTTGGAGAAAACGTTCTTGTGAACACTCCTGTACTTTGAGGTGGAGTTGGAGGTAATGGGCTCTTAAAAAATCTGGTAGTTGGAAGAAACTTTCTTGTGAACACCCCTGTAGTTTGAGGAGGAGTCTGAGTAACCAGTCTTGTAGTCGGAAGAATTGTCCTTCGAGGCAGAAGAATGATGAATCTGTCAGACATTCCTTTTTCTCCTTTCATTCCAAAGAACGGAAGGCCTTTAGCTCCCTGCATTCCCTTCTCCCCCGGACGTCCAACAGACCCTGGAAGTCCTTGCTGACCTGGAGCCCCCGCCATGCCCTTCATCCCCTTCATGCCTTGTATTGAGTCACCTGGTGGCCCTTGGTTTCCTGCAAGTCCTATAAAATAAAGCTTGGAATCATAACTCCATAAAGACACTGTGTTAAAGAGGTTCAGTCAACCTCTGAAAGGGAATATTATCGGATCCGAATTATTGATAACGTGTTTGGTAAAATAATCATAAATCGATTACAATTTAGGGTCTTTATATATATCAAAATGTACATTCTTTCGGTACAAGCTGATTTAAAATGAATATTGCTTATTGGTCATTGCTATGGAATGCTATATCATTGATTTTTAAACAGTTTTAACATCAAACAATAATTAAAATTTTAATTTTCGAATAATTCCATCATTTTATCAAGGGTACAAACATAAAACTACCCTGTACGCTTAAAGCAGGTGATAATGAATGTTTCCTTCTGTAAATTCAGCCACTATTATATGAACCAATGATCTTATGTCAGCTAGTAACAAAACAGCATACTAATCCGTATGCATAGATAGCGGCTGTGTTTCAGTCAATGGGAGCTCTCAAATGTGATAATCTCCCCATGTGAACCATTTCTTCCTATGCATGCATATTACTCTATAAAAAGCAAACATTCCCTCTTACCTTTCGGTCCGGCTGTTCCTGGTGGTCCTCCCGTCCCGGTTGGTCCAGGAGGCCCTATTAACCCTGGTGGACCAGCTGTTCCAGCGGCACCAACCACCCCTACAGGTCCACTTAGTCCTGGGGGTCCACCTGTCCCTTGAGGTCCTGCTGCTCCTTGGGGACCAACTGTTCCTGGCGGCCCACCGGTGCCTTGTGGTCCACTTGTTCCTGGAGGGCCACGTCTCCCAGGTGGACCGCCTGTGCCATAAGGTCCGCGGGTTCCAGGTGGGCCTCCAGTTCCTTGTGGTCCGGCAGTCCCAGTAACACCCTTCAGTCCGGGTGGCCCACCAGTTCCTGTTGGCCCTGGTTCACCGTCAGGACCACTAGTGCCTGGGGGTCCATCACGGCCAACAGGTCCTGATGTACCTGGAGGACCCCCTGACCCAGATGTCCCTGCTGTCCCTGGGGGTCCTCCCGTTCCTGGTGGTCCTTGCGAGCCAGGAGGCCCTCCGGTACTAGAGGGTCCTTCGGTTCCGGGAGGACCACCCGATCCTGGGGGACCCCCTGTCCCTGAAGGTCCTTCTGTTCCGGGGGGTCCGTTTGAACCTGGCGGACCCCCTGTCCCTGGTGGCCCGCTGGTCCCTGGTGGTGCTCCAGTCCCCGGTGGCCCACTACTTCCGGGTGGTCCCATGGTTCCAGGGGGTCCACCTGTAGCTGGAGGGCCACCCGTTCCAGGAGGACCACTGGTTGCAGGAGGACCGCCTGTTCCCCTTGGACCACTTGTTCCCGGAGGACCCGCTGTGCCAGGAGGTCCTCCTGTTCCTGGTGGGCCTGCAGTGCCAGATGGACCACCCGTTCCTGGAGGTCCATTGGTTCCTGGGGGTCCACTGGTTCCTGGTGGTCCGCCTGTCCCTGGTGGGCCCGCAGTTGCTATCAAATATTTATATTTCATGAGTATGTTTAAAACTACAGCAAATTATGTTTTTGAATTGAATAGAAATGAAAAAAACTGAGTAAATAAATTGCAAAAAATTACCGTTCCAGAAAAAACAATTTAAAATTTCAATGAATCACGTACACATATTCGATCTCGTGTTTTTTACTTTGTACATAACAAATAACAATTAAATACGGACACTTAAGCTTTAAGTTCACTACATATAATGTTATAAGTAATAACATAGTAATACCTGTAAAGCACAACAAATTTTATATAAAAAGCAGTGCGACAGCCACAGTCCCAACAGTAATTACCTATCTGTGACGCCCTGCAGACAAATCTCCTCGTTTCAGTGCAATCGCGATCTTGCCAGTCGTTTCCGCCGCCGCTGCGAATAACGACGCAGTTCTCGCCAGCTCCATCCGGTTCATTATTATCCCATTGATCATAATCAAATGGAGTCCCATCAGTCCATGTGTACGTCCCCTCCATTCCTTCGTCAGTCAGGCCTATCCAGGAAACCGGTCCTCCAGTCCTACGGGAAGGTGAATAATACTTCGTATTATGGTCGTCGTAATACATGGTTTCTTTATCCACCAACAGGCTGGACATCAACTCACACCTTACATTAATTACATCTGTTATGGTCTGTTTTGTCGTTGTCGATAATTGGTTGAAGCAAGTAACCATATTTTTTCCTAAAACAGGTTGTTTCTTGGTTTAGGAGACAGGGATTGCAAAATTATGAAACAATACCCAGGGACTTTATAACTATATATTATAGTTATAACTATCCAGAAAAAAAAAACAGAAACACTTTGTGTAACGTTTCGTTCGACACATAGCACCTAAGGCTTATCCAGATAGAGAACGTTGGGCCAGTGTCGGCATACCGCCATCCTGCCAACTTCGGACCGACATTACTCCTCTTTAAGTGGTCAGCCAGTGGTGGGCCAAAAACACCATCCTTTTGCAGTTGGGCTATAATGTCATTATGAGATATGAAGTTGGTTAACCACTGCTAAACAAACGTTGGCAAGTGGGTGGAAGGGTGGTGGTGTAACGAAACTGAGGGTCCGTGTAACAGACGGCCACCCTCCTTTATGTTATAATGGTTAGGGTTAGCCTGACCTAATTAAGTGAGCCAAAATTTAGGACGAGGCTTACCTGTACAATGTACAATGTATGGAAAGCGGACTCTCTGTCCTTTGGGAAACACTGTCACACGATACACTTCTTAAGTGTATATTATGTTTTACTCGAAGTACAATCCGAGTAACATTTGTTATCTTTCAATCTTCTTCGGCAAGGGAAGTAAAAAACTGTAATTTTTGGACATTTTGGAGTTTTGGGTGCTACAGTACTGTTTGTATTCTATGTTACATATGCTTAGAGGTTATGTGTTTTTGTTTTGTTTTTGCTCAATAGGCACGCTATACTGTCCCCTCTGTTGCCTATGCATGTATATTTACATTCTCCCCTGTTTTCAGTCGTGCTTGGAATGCTTTTGCAATGACCGATTAGTCTGCATGTCTTCTCCGCTAACACCATAGTATCATGTACTTAGGGTCTATCGTTCCCGATATCTTCCAAACTCGGTGTGTGATACTGTTTCATTTGGAATCGTGTCCTGTATTCGCCTCTTACATGGAGCAATATATTCTGGCACAAGCATTTCAAATAACATAAATGACATCTTTGCTTGTCCCTTGGGACAGTGGTCAAGGTTAAAGGTTTGATGTCATGGTTATTACGATGACACTCTGCTCTATGTGTTGAGACCCAAATTTACCTTTGTGGACATTCTGCGTAATGAATATTTGTGTTATAAGTGCTTTCGCTGTTTTTTCTTCACTTTTACCCTAGGTTGCAGTAATTTGATTTGTTCGAAAAGTAGGTTACAATAATTATCTTTCTCAGTTAGTTCAATACAACCTGAAAGAACCAAGGAAAACCATTTACCACAAAAGCGCTTGTTACCTATCATGATCACGCCGTCCGTGTCTCATTTGATTGATTGTTCTTGCGATCGGCCTCATTGGAGGGTTGCATAACGTGACAGAGAATCCCATATGACAGATAGTTCGCTTCATATTCATGGGTAAGCCTCTCCCTAGATTTTGGCCCACTTATATAGGTCAGACAATAACTCTAACCATTATAACTAAATGGAGGGCGCACTTTCTGTTACACGGACCCTCAGTTTCATTATACCGGGTTGGCACCAACAACACGCGCCTTTCTTCAATTTTGTCACCTAGTCAGTTTGAAGCTATTTTGGGTTTTGGGCACCCCTGAAGTAATCATGCAACGACTGCCCTGATATGAGCCCATACTATGGTGTGGTATTTCCCCGCATGCCCTGCAGGGAGTTCACGCCTAGCTGTCTGTTATAGTTTGGGAGAGTTTAGGGAACCATTGAGTATAGTGTTTGGTACTCGCATATCACATCCGATAAGCTCTTTTACTTGTTTGGTAATGGCTGTGCGTCATGGGTACATCCCCCAAGAACGGATAGTAAATACAAACATTACACATTCACATTAGCCTCTTTAGTTCTGCGTTCATTTTACTAAAATGAATAGTGTATTGACTTACAGTATGCTGCTAATAAAAGTATTCTCGGCTGCACTGTGAATGCTGGCTAGATGTCCCGTGTCAAACGTGTTACAGAATGCCTCAGCGGCCGTGAAGGTTAAAATCATGTCGACATAAAGGTAGCAAAAACCGTTGTCTGGATTTAATGTCCAACCAGCGAGGCAAGCTGAAGTGAAGATATGACAAAAAGGAATTACTAATTGCTTGAATATACACAGTGAAACGAACTTAAATGAGAACATGCAATTAAAATTTCATATAGACATGCATTCTTGGGCGTCGGTTTATGAAGCTGACAAAAGTGAATGAAGTGACGCACAAGAAAATGCAAAAGACGAGAAACCACAAAAAATGAGTTCTTATCTGATTGCATAGAACCCATAAGTTTATTGACAATACAGTTATAAACGTGCACCCGTAGAAAACTAAGACTTGGATTGTTTTAAACTAGTCCTTACCTGATCTACACGGAACCCAGAAGTTTATTGACAATACAACTATAAACGTGCACCTGCAGAAAACAAGAGAATTATTATCTGGAATGTTCGATAATGGAAATAGTCGTTTTCTTAATGTCTACAAACATACAAATGCCCTAATCTTATCAAAAGATATTTTGCCAAAAGCTACCCAATTGCAAGGACAGTTTACTGTGAAATTTTAACTTTTAGCGCTATGTTTTCTCAAACAATGCTACATGTATCAAAATGCAGAATTACCTCCAGTCCATATCGAAAGTTTTGCATAAAATACACTCTAGAACAACTCACATTTAATCATTAAAACTCCTCCTTATATAATGACTGTCAACGCTTGTCATATTCATACCGTAAAAACGTCACGTGCTATGATTGGTCGACATACGCGTGGTCTTTCAATTCCCAACCTATTGTGTTCGTTTCAAATGGTGGCAACATTTTTTACGAGCCTCAAGTTAACGATTGGATGTTTGAAATATTTGATACTACCTGTACCGTAGGCATATCTCTCTGCCAGAGTTATTTGGAGAAAGGGACGCACCACATTTACTAGTCAATGGGCTAAGCAGTAAAATAATTGCATGTAGATTAAATTTGATGAAAATTAGAAAAAAAAGCTTGTGCATTCAACATACCGTCTTTTCACTCTTAATTGGCACTTATTAAGATAAGATTTGGGTGGGTAGATATGGCAACCTATAGGACTTGACTAGGGCTGCCTATAAGACAGAAGTCACAAAGAACTTACACCCGATCTCTGTTACCCCTTTTTCAAGGTTTTGCATATATCAATTAGTAAAGTTAATCATGGACCCAAAATTCAGAAACCAGCAAACCCAAGACCATGTCTGATGTTTATTTCTATGTTCATTATCCATACTGTGTACACTCAAGTATAACCCCAATGCCCACAGTTTCTTTACACAAATCCTTCGCCTTAACTGCCGCAGGGTGCTGACCAGTGGCGGATTTAGAGGGGTGTCGGGAGGTGTATGATAAATTCCCAGCCCAGAGTAGAATAGGTGTAGGAGAGGTTCCCACCACAGGGCAGAATAGGCCAGAATACCGGTAGGTCTAAGGAAAGGTCCCAACACAAAGCAGACTATTGTAGGGGAGGTTCCCAGCCTAAAGCAGAACGGGTTTCGGGGGGGGGGGGGGGGGGGGGTGTCCAGCACAAGGCAGAACAGGTGTTAAAGGGGTTGTGTGTTAATCACTCCGTTCTTTTGTCCCTTTCATCTCCCTTTTCGCCCAGCAATAAAAAGACTGATCTGACTCTCAATAGAACATCCTCAGCAAGAACAATTAGTGCCATATATCAGCTGGATATAAACATGTGGAAGGTAACATACTGTACCAGGTGTTTGCTTGTTCTTGTGTAACTTTGTAAATGGTTTCGCCAATTCACTTTTTCACAGATAACGTCACGCATGGCCGTGAACTCATTTCCGCTGTCGTGACTGGATGCCTACTTCCGTAGCGTGGGAAGCCGTGTAGGTTCGTCGGTATGTCGTCTGCTTAACCGGAAATGGCAGTGCAACTGTCTGGATCAGAATGAAACACGCATAATATAATTTGCGCATGCGTGTCTGTGGAAAAGTGAATGCATGCTTGAAGAAACGCAACGCCATGCCCCAAGTAAAACCACTTTTAGTCCCTTTTAAAATGTTTCACTACTATCAAAAAGAGGAGTTCCGGTGGTATAAATTGTGGTTAGAATAGGGCCATGGCCTTAAGTCTTAGAAAATGCTAATACAGGGGTTCTTAATTCATAAAGCCTTTTCAAATATACAGGACCTGTTTTTCATTCACTGTTTTTTATTTCTAGTATATGTTGTTTTATAAGCAGTAATCACTTGATACAAAATAATGATGATAGTCAATTTTCATATGCATACTACATGTAGTAGTATTATATTTTCATTGAATTTGCATTAAAAAGTAAAACTACATTCTTTTGGTTACAATATTTGAATTTATTATTATTATTATTATTATAATTATTATTATTATTATTGGGACTATTCCCCTGCCGTCTACAAGGATTTAAAGTGGGGAAACTGTTAAACGTCCCAACAGCAAAATACCTTGTAACGTGAGAACCTGTATTAGTTGAATATCTGAAACTGAAGCGAACACGTGCAGCATGTAAATCCATCTTATGTTTTTTTTAAATTACGCGTATGTTTAATGCGTCTTACATCATTTTTGCTATACACATATTCTGCAATGAAATCGTCTATCAGACAAGGAATAAAATTAGAATAAATAAAAAATACCAAAAAACAGCCGCCATATTCGTAACTCTCAGCAATTAGTTTATCTAGCTTATAGTGAACACAGAATTGTGTATAATTTTAATTAAAAGCAATAAAACCTTGCACTATCGACCGGGTGGTGTAAAGTTTGATGGCTCTGACTGCTATGGAAATATGAGACCGTAATATGAAATTTAATATCAGTTTAATTTACGACTTACAGTATATGGCTTTTTCATATAAGACCCCTCGTGGGTAGATGTTTCTAAATGAAAACCTA